TATACTACTTATTTATGCTGTAATTTGACCTGTCGCAAGCACTGAATGTGATATTACGACAAAATATACATTATTAAAAAAAAAAAAAAAAATATTTAGGTCTCTATTGACTGGACTATTTATGAATTCGAGCCAACCCTTTGCTTGCCGAACGGTGAAACCCATTTTAAACATAGTGGTTTTTGAGATTTAAGATAGGGAAATTTATTTATTCGACCACCAATTTTAGGATAAATACATAATTAGTACATTATATGCAAGTAGTTATGCACTTGTTATATTACGATTTACATGTGTATTTAATGTGGGCAATCTGTATATAAAACTAGTGTAGGTAAGTTAGATTACCAATGGAGTACTTACTACTACATTATAATAATAAGGGATAGTCATCGATTTGTGTGACTTCAAACTAATCTGTTTCACCTGCTAAAAAGTATAATTCCCCTATAATTATGATTTTCTCTGTACCACAATGCTGAGAAGTAATGTGGATGTCAATCAAAATATTGAATTTTATCCGTTTGTAAGAAATAAATTGGGATTTTCTATATCGCTTATGAAAGAATAATGAACAAAATGAATGAAGCAACCGCAAAAGGTGCAAGTTTAAGCTCGACTTATGGGAATTAGAATGTTGGATGAAAACAACGAGAATTTTCATAATCTGATACAGTAAATGGAAAACTGTTTAATAAAAAATGCATTTGAAGACAAACAAATGCGTGCTCAGAGTTTATTAAACCGTTTTGGTCATAAACTGTAGGTATCATCCGCTAAGAGCCCTCATTGCACAATACACATGCTTAATATTAATTGCATAATACTATAAGCTTTTGGAATTACGCCCAGTAATAATTTATGATTATATTATTACTATTGTAACAAATCGGTACCTACCGGCTACCAGCTTAAGATTGGCGAGTTTTTAGAGTCTAGCGCAACGGATTTTCTTATTGTGAGGAAATTACAGGCATTTTCTTGTACAGGGTGCAAATTGAAAAGTGGAACATAGGCGTTTAACATGGGCAATTACTTTTTCTTTGCGCAAACGTTTCCTAATTATTTTATGCAAAAATACTTCAAATAAAAGTTATAGATCTAAATCATGTGAAACGATTATTCTACCTCTTCTTGTACGCGAAGAAATGAATTATAAAGATTCTGTTTTCACGAGTTTTTAGTCTAAGTAGCCATGGACTATGTTTTTCTTTTATCATAGTCCATGGCTACTCAGACTAAAAACTACTAACTAATGAAAATTGTTGGCTTTATAGGTCAGATACTGTGTTCTGTTGACGAAAAGTTTTCTTAGCGTAACAAAACGAAGTTAAGGTAACGTGTATGTGCTCGATTTTCCGTCGCCTGTCTGTTCCATTCCTGGGCCACCTAGAGACTTCTGGTTTTCACTAATTGATAGGTGCTATGGTCTATATTTGCCCGTTACTCATCATTTACGTGGCAACACCCACTCTGGTTTTGAAACGTTTTTTATAGTTTTTTTAATTTTTTTTATTTTTGCCTTTTAGGAACGTTACATTTTGTTACTAAAAATGCAAAATGAATTTTCTCGTTCGTGCATTGGTTTGCGCGCGCACAGTAAGTTATAAGTTCGTGACTAACACACAAGAAAGTGACCAAGTGTTTCAAAAGTGGTGGCATTTTATAATGATAGCAAATGGTTTGGCACAGTGATAGTGTAGACCGTTGAAACCAAATTCAGCCGAACCAGCCGAAGTCTCCAAAAGTCCTCAAATTTGCGACCCTCCTTTACTTTTTTTTCACAAATTTATGTGTTTTTTGACAGTCTGACCAGTGTGGTTTTGTAAAAATATGATAGCGTTTTTCCTATCTAATTAGGATATTGTAAAATTGAGTGGTCCCCTTTTATAATTACCAAAAATCAACTTGGAAAAAGTTCAAAGAAAATGTCATAAGTTTCTATGATTGAAATCAGAGAGAACACATCTTTTTCAATTAATTAATTAAATTAATTTTCTAGGATATTACTAGTGGCGGATCATTTGCCATAGCGTTTTGAGTACTAAAACGGTCCTCTATATTTTTAAATACTATCACCATATTAGACTCAGTCTTGCGTAAGTAACGGGCGATCAAAAATGAGCGGCGGCCGAGCCACCTTTGGATTTCGATTTTCCACACAAACAAAAATCCCAAAAGTGACTCGACAGCAACTCATTTTTGATTGCATGGTAGAATACTTTTGTCAGACATCTTGGTTTTATTTGCTGATTTAATTCGTAGAATTAATTTAATTCGCGGGGTCAATCAAAGTCAATTAAATTAATTTTGTTGCCCATTTTGGGATCAAATTAACAAAATCAAAACAATAGCCTCAGACCAAATTTATCACAGATTTTAATAGAGATGTCGTAATGGGCCATCAATCAAATTCATGACGTCATACTTTATCGCAAGTCATATCGATTCGGATGCTACATGTACAACATTCAAAATTAATTAATTCAATTTTCTTAAAATTTTACAAATGCAAAAAATTTGTAGCAGAGGCGGATCCAGGATGAAAATGCTATTTTATGCATTTGCGAGTAAATTCACCACACTTACGTACCAAGCTTTGTTTTAGATTTTAGCATTTGTTCTCTAACTAAGGAGGTGCAGTGAATTGCGTATTCTTGATAACAATCGAACGACAATTTGTTTCAATTTTGGGCGCTATGAGCACTACAATCCATTAGGCTCTTGGAGGGACCCCTCCCGTGGACCCGCCTCTGATTCGTACGGCAAATATTGGACATACTTATGCATTCTTTAAACTAAAACTTTCCCTTACAGGTACCAGTTTGTATGTTTCTGTTCACTTTACAATTACAAATCTTGCAAACACGGAGGTTATGGGACTGTAGCGTGAGACGAGATATCACAGCAGCTGCTAGGAAAGGCCGAGAGGGCGCTTAATGATTGCAACGTGCATGTTATGTTAGGTCTTACCTTTTTACTCGTTATCGTTTGAAGAAAATATACAAAAAGACAAATGTTTTCGTTGTGTAAGAAAATCAACTTCACATCAAACGAATGGTGTTCCTACTAGACAGCATAGGGACAAAAAAATAGAAATACAAGCTTGGTGGTCGATTACCGTAAGTTAATTGCGCAGACGGTAAAATCAGATTATCGGATTTTAAGTTTGGACGAGCAGTTCCAATATTTGTCCGGGAATAAAATTTTAGCAGACCTTGCAAACAAATGGATCCCTGCAAGTGCCTCTAACAGAAAAAGCTGCCAGGAAAACCGTATTTATAACACCAGACACCACGGCAGAATTTCGTCGAATGATTTTTGGATTAACCAATGCTGAAAACTTGTCCAATACTTCTCCAATAATAACCAAACACAGGATTGCAGACTTGACTGAGGAATAGCGGGGCTAAATCAACCCTTGCATTTGATACAACGACTTTTTCTGTTCGCCGGTCTGTAGATACCAATACGCGCACTGGGCAGTACCTACTCCTACCAGTTTGAGATGTTGATTTGATGTCACAGTTCCCATAGCCACTCAGTAGGGTCTGGTGGCGGTACGTCATGCAATATTTTTTTAGGAGTTAGTAATTGATCATTTATAAAACACGTCTTAGAGGGTAGGTACCAGTATTGTCTAATATGTATTCATACACAAAAGATGAATTTGCAATAGCGAGATCGCAAGTATAGTCGAATTGACACAAATAAATTCGGAAGGTGAATACTTTAGTTATCGTTCTCACAGTACGCGACCTTCTTTGGGTTCAGATTGTACTGTAAAGTGTAACTAACTTCTCTGAAATATAGAACCACGCTTAAGGCAAGTATCAATTTAGGAACATATAAAGTGGCATGTCCACACAACTGGGGAGTTATGAGTAATTAAATCTGAGTATTTTTAATCTGCAAAAGTCATGTTTTAGTTGGAATAGGGCCCTAAGACACGTGCTGCCCTCATTTCATGAAAGTAAAAATAATAACTCTGTATAATTTATTTATTTACTAGGTTTTGCACCTATGTAATCATTCTTTGTTTAGGCGTAACTCCCACTATCATGCTTACAGCACAATACATACTGAGATCACATGAAGTATTAGCAGTTAAGATATACAACGCAATTCCTTAGGGTATATATAAGGCCAACTCCGACACTTTATACGTTTAAAAAAAAACGCCAAGAAGGAGACTTAATTCCTTTGACTTGTATTATTTACTCGTAAATGAATTCTGTGATGTTTTTAATGAGTGAATAGAATTTATGTAGATTTTAGTGTTGTTTATTTTTGACCTGTATATGTATATTTGTATTGTTTGTTGTTTGATTTACGCTTGTTAATAACGTTTGGAACTTTATGCATTATTCGACACATCTCTTGTAAAGAATAAACGTGTCTATCTATCTATCTTTAACATCCATTAAACCCCTTTCACATGTGCATCTAACGCTCGTGCAAATTAAATAATGCACTCTCATTGTCATAAACGCAATGTGACTGGTAAACAATATAAGTATATGAAGTAGTTTCCTTTATACGGAAACGTAGGAAACCACTTAGTGCCTGCAAAATGAAATGCAGCACCTATACAATTTTTCATTAACATTTACGTCCTCGTGAAGAGTGGCAGTTGTTTAATCGCGTCCTCAAAAAAGTATAAAAAAGGTCCTTTTTAGAATTACGTTTTCCGATTTACCTAAAGTTAAACACACGCTCGTTCTCAAGGGACGTAGTGCATAATTGAGCGAACAAGCTTAGCTGGAAAATTTGTCAGATGTGGCGGTAGTTAATTTGCAGTATACCAACAACTTCCTTTGCTGGGCCAACGGGCAGATAAAATTTCCAAATAGAGATTTAAATGTCATGTTATAAAGGGTCTCAGATATCTTGTTAGTTTAGTAAGATTATCACGTAAGTAGCTCCACATACATACATTAGAAGAAATGCGGCCCACATGCCACCTTTAGGTAACTTAGTAACAAGGCTATATACTTTACCGAGACAGAGAAAGGTGGGCTCGCCGGCATATTGTGTAGGATGTGCAGGTGCGCGATCCCCGGGTAGCATATAGGGACACTGCTCTTCTACAGATTGACACACGCTGCGACACGGCCGTACACGTAATTCCACATCTCCATGTAGAAAATGAGGCACCAATGAGCTGCACACCCACCGCCGGTATGCTCCCTGAAAACAAAATCTTTATTAGTATGGCATCGATCCTAATTTGATGCGTGCGGTGCAGCTTTAAAGGGCCACTTAATCGCATTTTGTTATTCAGCTAATATTTACGAACTCTCTAGCTATAAAACGAATCGAATTGTCTACAAGATTATATCACCTCAGATTTCTACCGAAATTCAATCCTGCGAGTGGAGACATCTCGATTTTCTCACAGTGGCAGGTGACAAGATAAATTTACCCAAAAAAGAATGTATGTTGGCATTTTACTACCTCCCAAAAAGTAATTAACTATCATAAGAAAAGCGTTGTCACTTTTTCGAAAAAGTTTTGTACAAGCACCACGATCACTCTTATACTTAAAAACGGAAAGTGATTTATTGTTTCGCGTTTATTCGAAACTCGCCACGTTCTAAAGGACAACATAAGAATTGTAAATTTGTGGAGTACCCCGAACGATCCAATTTCCGATACCAAACGCTGCGTTTGTCTATCAATCACAATAAAACGTGACGTTAAAAAACTAAACTATCATGGTTTTCAATTGTAAGTGCATAGGATGCCCGTACAAGTTATTCCCGTCCAAATAGAATTTATGTATGTGTAGGTCTTATTGAAAACAAATATCCATACTTTTTTTCCATTTAACAATCGCGTATATTTTTATAACTAGATAAAAAAGAGACGATAACACAAGTTTTCTTGGCACCATTTCTAGCTTGGCATCACTCGACAAAACTGTTGCATTTACAATGTTAAATGTTATACACGTAGTTAATAAACTCTGCATTTAGTTGTGTAACCAGTGATCTGCAGTCAAATCATCTACTAAATTTTATGCATTAATTCTGACATACAATGCAAATGGGAATTGAAATTGTAGTCATGATTTATTGTTAGATATAGTGCAATAATTTGCGACAAAACTGCTTTCTGAGAAAGTGGTGGTTTGTGCACGCTAAAATGAACGACATGGATCTTTACTGGCTTTTTTACGATCGCGTTCTGATTACTCTTCAAATAAAATTAACTAATATTTACTGCAACCGACCCTACGTTGTCTATGTATCTATCGGGTTTGTAGAGACATGACACTTCGTGTTGCATTACGTATCGAAAATTTATGAATAATTACGTTAATTTTATGGCGGAAACTCTTGTGGCCGTTGAAAGAACAAAAACTGAAACGAAAACACCAAGAAACCAAAATCAATACACCTCCTACACTTCTTAGTCAGGAAATACATACACAGTCGACCATAACTCACACTAAATAACAAATGCATCACTAAAATGTTAATATATTTAATAATAATAATAATAATAATAATAATTTTTTTTTTTTTTTTTTAAGGACCCTACATAACTTCAGACACAGACACAGACACTAATCGTTACTTGATTTTTATCCGTGCGATTAGTTAACCAGGCTAGACCTGAGTTCTCACAAGAAACACCGATCATAATAATAATAATAATAATATATATTCATTGTGCTAGTACATTAAAAGTAATGTTTACACGCGTCATAAAAGCAGAACAATACATATAAATATAAAACACAGAGACTTGCTATAACATAAAACATAAAACGTAAACTCTAAGAAATATTAAAATTTATAATTTAACGTCAATGTTAAGAAAATCTTTAATATTGTATAAGGGGTTTTCAGTTAAAAAAGCCTTTATTTTGTTTTTGAAAATCTTTCTATTTTCTGATCGAATGTGATCAGGCAACCTGTTATAAAACACCGGCCCCCAGTAGTTATGTGCAGCTTGCGATTTTTTAAGTCTAAGTTTCGCGCATACAAGATTATTGCTGTTACGTGTGTTGTACCTGTGGATTTCTGAATGGGCGACCTAATTTAATTTATTTTTATGAACATACACCAAACATTCTAGTACGTACTGAGAAGGCGCTGTAAGAAATTTGAAAGATTGAAAAATGTAACGACAGTCTTCTCTGTATCCAGCACTAGCTACACTTCGGACACACCTTCTTTGCATCGCAAATATTCTCTTCATTGCAGTAGAGTGGCCCCACGCTATTATTCCATAACAAATTATTGAGTGGGCATAACTGTAATAGACACATTTTAAAATCGGTTTCGACACCATGTTAGATAAATGTTTTAACAGATACGCGACTGAAGCCAGTTTTGCGCTAATTCTGTCTTCGTATTGGCCCCACGTCAGTTTCGAATCAATAAGGACGCCAAGGAAATTAATGGATACTACTTCTTTTGACGTTGATGAAGAGAACTGAATTTTTTGTGTTTTACTAATATTTAAAATTAGCTTATTAGCACTAATCCATTGTTTTACATCTAATAAAGCCTTACTTATTTTTTCTTCATTCTGCACGAAATCGGAAGAAATCTAGTTAACGTTATGTCGTCAGCATACAGCGTGAATCTGGCACCTGGACTAGAGAAACAAATGTCATTAATAAAAATTAAAAATAAAACAGGTCCAATTATGGAACCCTGCGGAACGCATAATGTTACAGCTCGACATTGAGATTTTTTATTGTTGTACTGTACAAATTGCTTAAGTAAGATTGAATTAAGTTTATGCTATCCTGCGTGAAATTATACAAATTTAACTTTTTTAACAGTAACTTGTGAGATACCAAGTCAAAGGCTTTAGTTTGATCTAAAGATATAGACGTACAACTTCTACGTGCCTCTATACTGTCAATAATCTGCGTAGTGAAATTAAGAATGGCAGTAGTTGTCGAAAACCAAACTGATTACTGCAAAACAAATGATTCCCTTCCATGAAATCTATAATCCGATTCTTCAGAATCATTTCAAATACTTTCGAAAAAATTGGAAGGATGGATACCGGTCTATAATTAGTAGTTACGTTCCTTTTTTATGAAGCGGCAGAACACAAGCAAGTTTTAACACATCCGGGAAAATGCTGTAATGTAGACATTCATTTAGCAACGAAGTGAATGGTGATATGATTATGTTTATTATACATTTAATTATGTCCAAATTGTGACCGTACGCATCCATGCACTTACTATTATTTAAAAGTTGGGGGATTGAACCTTGGGGACAGATGGGGATCATTTAGGTTATTACTGTCTATATTTTCCACCAAGCTAGATGGAATATTTAAAAACTCTTCATTGAATGTCTCTGCGTCAATATTTGATGGGTTCACATCATTTTTGCAATACTGACCTTTAATAACTTTCCACATGGCCTTTGAAGAATTTTTGCATTTGGAAATAAATGTATCATGAGTTGCAATTTTACTCTTTTTAATAGCCAAGTGATATTTATATCTAAAAGATCGCAACATCAATTTTACGTTTTCACTGCGCGACTGTAAATATAATTGTTGTAAAAATTGTAAGGTATTTCGCATCCTTTTTAAGTCGTTGTTGTACCAATGAACATTGAGAGATTTATTTGTACAATTCACAATTTTTTCAGGAAATGCTATTTCACAAGCCCCAGTGATAGTATTTAGAAACAAGTCAAATTTTTTATGAATATCTCTACTTCTATCTTTTACAAAATCAAAACAACAATTCTCTAAAATATTATTCAAAATAACTTTTCCGTGTTTATTTATTGGACGGTGTTTTCTAGGACTATTTATTCTGATTGGAGCATGATTGAGGGACATAATTGCATGTATTCCGAGATGGTCAGATAACTGGGTATCTATAATATTAGATGAACTTGCATTGCATTTGAAAAACAAGTTTAAGGGATGAAACGGTAATCACCGTTCCGTTATGGATAAGCGCCTGATGAGGACATACAGTTGAACGGCATCCGTAAACTACTTTGCACAATGAATTATAGATATATTATGCATTAACGATAAGGCAATCAATGCAAGTGGCACCGCATTATACCGATTATCAATCTTCATTAATAAGCAATCCGCACCGTACAGGGCAGTTGCTTCAAGTGCTTGGCGGGCAGTAATGGGTAAAAAGACGTGATCTAGTTGCAATGATACCTGTAACGCTTGATTCTACTTTCAAACTGAACGGAAAAATGTGATGGATACTTGTATCACTTAATTCAAATACAATGTAATGGACTACATACCTACTGGTTAATGTAGGCACACTAAATGGAATTAAACCTGTATCATAAATAAGGCATACGCTATTGGCATTATTAATATGATAGACTAGAGAAAATAGCAACATTTCTATTTCATCCGAACCCCTATTACAGTTCTTATACATGTCTAATATAAAGTGTCTTCAGCTTTCGAATAATCGTACGTAGGCACTCGATTGACGCTTTTAAGTGGATCCTTCACAAACATGCCTTATCAGTTGTTATCTCTTTTTACCGTAGAAACCTTCATTTAAAACGCCTTTAACGTAGAGCATTATCCCAGGATCCCAATTAAAAAGCTGTAAAATGAGTTAAAAAATAATAACATTCTTATTGCAAGTTGATGTGAATAAACTAAACGGTTATAAATTATTTAAAAACATGTATCAATACTGTTGTGTAAACTGAAGGAGGATCTCGTTTCTCTAGGTCGAAATAATCCAGAAGGTGAGGGCGAGTCACCGTGTAGTGAAAATTTTGCGTGTTGTCAACGTAATTTCTGGTTTAGGTTCGCATTGGAAATAGCAGTCAGGACATCCTGTATGTAAAATGTTTGAATTTATTTAAAAGAACCTGAAGGAGACACAGAATTGAAAAATTTGTTATTGCCATTGTATAATGTTAGTGTTTAATTGTAAATTTAGTAATTGTTTAAGTCATGTACGTTTATTCGTTGTACTTAGCGAGTATCATAAATTTTAGAACGCATAAATTAGGCGATATTTCATTGTAATTTCAATCAATCAATCCATCAATCTTTATTTATCCGTATATCATAAATAGGTTCGACGGAAGATAAAAGTTGAACCTGGCCAGATGCTTTGTAAATGCGTTATCGGACAAATGAATTTACTTTATTTACTAACAACGCCATGTGCGAGATAATGAAGGCATGAGTTTATCAATACG